TCATTCCAAAATAGAAAAAAAAAATAAAGCAACATGTCATCTTGATTGATTTATTTTTAATTAATTGAAAGTGTAGGCCAAGTGTTTTTTTGTTATAACTATTTCTTCTTATCCACAAACAAAAAAACAAACACACAAAAGCAAAATCTATGCTTTTATTGAAGACCATAATTTTTTAATTTTTAAATATGTTATTGGAGTTGGGAAAGTGCTTGTGATCTTCCCTTCACATAACAAACAAACACCAAAAAGAAGGGACAAGATGCAAAGTTGTTGTGTATTTATTTATTTTTATATTAAAAGTTGCAGAACATTTATTGAGCAAAACATGAAAATATTATATTTTTAAAAGTTAATTGGAGATCTCTTTTATATGCTTTTTAATGAAAAAAAAGAAAAGGAACCCTTTCGAGTAGATTCTATAAGGAGTTAGGACAGTTCTTACTTTCCTACTTTCTTGTCTTTAAGCATTGGCACGTGAGGGCCACCACCTCGTGACTACTTTATACTTGTTTCATTTATCCCTGTCGAGTTTAAATTCTAAGTATGAAATCACGTCTCATAAGGACTATTTTAGTGCTATTATTAAACTTTTAATATGATTTTAAATTTAATAGTACCTCAATATAAATACTGAATGACAAACGTGAAATAATAAAAGATAATAATCATAACTATAATCTGATACATTATAATTATTTTTGAATAGGATTATAAAATAATAGTTTATTTTTGAAAATATTTTTTTCCTTTTCTGAGATGTGATGTAGTACTTCATAGAATTGATTACCAAAAAAGGAACTTGAGTTTGGAAACAAAAAATTACAAATTTTGGGGAAAAGTTGAAAATAGTATTTAAAAAATTGAAGTTGTGTATGAACATTAATACAAATTGATTTTTTATTTTGAATTTTTGAGAGTGATTTTGAATGAAAATAACTTTTTTCGGAGTTTTTTGAATAGTTAAATTCTGAAGAATGATAACTCTATGATCAAACAATTTTCCTTAATAAATGAAAAATATCAATAGTCAAATATATTGGCTCTTAGCTTTTAAAAATCTACCAATACATTAGAACTTTGCCATTTTAAACATTTCATCAAATAATTATTCTAAAAAAGATAAAGACAGTCATTTCAGTATGAGGAATCACTTAATTAGCATTTTGTGGTAATTTTATTTTCAACAGACTGTCAATAGCATAATGTTATTTCTTCTTTAATTTAACCTCTTAATTATACTTTAAGAATTTGTCTACCTTAACTTATAAAAGTTTAATTATTTTTGAATTTTGAAATGGGCATTAATGATTTTTTGGGTGCTTTGGGGCGCTAGATCCATAGGCTATAACACACGAAAAATCGAGAAAATCGGGTAATTTCTAAAAAGGGCTTGTAAATGCGGGAATGGGCGTGAAAAAAATGGTGTGAGTATACGTGGTGGTTCCCCAACTCATTACGGAGGTCCTCATAAAGTTTTTTTAGAAAATTTTTTTGGGTGCTCCGAGGCGCCAGATCCATGGGCTATAACACACAAAAAATCGGGAAAATTGGGTAATTTCTAAAAAAGGGCATGTAAATGCGGAAATGAGCGTGAAAAAAATGGTGTGAGTATATGTGGTGGTTCCCCCACTCATTACGGAGGTCCTCATAAAGTTTTTTGAGAAAAAAATTTATTGTGCTCCGGGGAGCTAGATCCATGGGTATAACACACGAAAAATCGAGGAAATTGGGTAATTTCTAAAAAGGACCTATAAATACGGAAATGGGCGTGAAAAAATGGTGTGAGTATACATGGTGGTTCCCCAACTCATTACAGAGGTCCTCATAAAGTATTTTGAGAAAAAAAAAAATTGGTGCTCCGAGGCGCCAGATGCATGGGCTATAACACACGAAAAATCGGGAAAATAGGATAATTTCGAAAAAAGGGCTTGTAAATGAGGAAATGGGCGTGAAAAAAATGGTGTGAATATACGTGGTGGTTCCCCAACTCATTACAGAGGTCTTCATAAAGTTTTTTGAGAAATTTTTTTTGGGTGCTCCGGGGCACCAGATCCATGGGCTATATAACACACGAAAAATCGGGGAAATTGGATAATTTCTAAAAGGGCATGCAAATGCGAAAATGGGTGTGAAAAAAATGCTGTGAGTATACGTGGTGGTTCCCCAACTCATTACGGAGGTCCTCATAAAGTTTTTTTAGAAAAAAAGTGCTCCGGGGCGCCATATCCATGGCGATAACACACGAAAAATCAGGAAAATTGGGTAATTTCTAAAAAAGGGCATATAAATGCGGAAATGGACGTGAAAAAAATGGTGTGAGTATGCATGGTGGTTCCCCAACTCATTACGGAGGTCATTATAAAGTTTTTTAAGAAAAAAATTTCTTGTGCTCGGGAGCGCTAGATCCATGGGTATAACACATGAAAAATTGGAAAAATTGGGTAATTTCTAAAAAAGGGCTTGTAAATGCGGAAATGAGCATGAAAAAATGGTGTGAGTATACATGGTGGTTCCCCAACTCATTACGGAAGTCCTCATAATTTTTTTTAAAATAAAAATTGGGTGCTCTGGGGCACCAGATCCATGTGCTATAACACACGAAAAATTGGAGAATTTGGATAATTTCTAAAAAAGGCCTGTAAATGCGGAAATGGGCGTGAAAAAATGATGTGAGTATACGTGGTGGTTCCCCAACTCATTACAGAGGTCCTCACAAAGTTTTTTGAGAAAATTTTTTGGGTGCTCTGGGGCGCCAGATCCATGGGTTATAACACACGAAAAATCGAGAAATTTGGGTAGTTTATAAAAAAAGGGCCTGTAAATGCGGAAATAGACTTGAAAAAATGGTGCGAGTATACGTGGTTGTTCCCCAACTCATTACGGAGGTCCTCATAATGATTTTTTTTTGGGTGCTTCGGGGTGCCAGATCCAGCCTATTATAACATACGAAAAAATGGGGAATTTGGGTAAGTTCTAAAAAAGGACCTGTAAATGCGAAAAAGGGCGTGAAAAAAATGGTGTGAGTATATGTGGTGGTTTCTCAACTCATTACGGAGGTCCTCATAAAGTTTTTTGAGAAAAAAAAATTAGGTGCTCGATGCCATATCCATGGGCTATATCACACGAAAAATCGGGAAATTTCTAAAAGAAGGCATGCAAATGCGATAATGAGCGTGAAAAAAATTGTGTGAGTATACGTGGTGATTCCTACTCACAAAAAAACAAGAAAATCGTGTAATTCAAATAAATAACAATTAGTACTCTATAATTCTATTATGAAATTTGATAACCTTACTAGTATATTTACTACTAGTTTCACTAGATGCATTCATCCGATTGCACAAAATATGAATTGTACTACATTAAGCGTTAATGCATTATGATGTCTTTTTGCTTTAATACGTAGAAACCAAAACTTTACAAAGAAGACTTTCTTTTTTTTCTTAATTACAATTGTTTCTTAACACAAATAAGGTTTAGACAAAAACTATTGAATTTTGTCAAATTCGTGATTAGAACTCTTTGATCTGCTCCGACTAGTGTGCACCATTTCAAGAACATATAAGCGCTTTGTAACAATTTTTTAATTTTCCACAGTTCTTTATCTAGGGATGGCAATGGGGTGGGGCGGATGCGGGGCATGGTGGGTTTAAGGCTAAGTGGGGCGGGGCGGGTTGAAGTGAATTTTTTTTAAAATTAATGCAGGTTGCGGGCATACGTAATTTTATGTGGGTTCAAATTTAATTTTAACTTTTTACATGTTATAAGAGTGATAGAACATTATTTATTAAGATAATTTCTATAAAGCTACTAAAATATTAAAAATAGTAAATGAAAATGGTTCAATAAAAAGTAATACAATTTCTTACATGTTTCGCAATTGACCTCTAATAAATAAATTTTTAAGTCGCTATCCTATTAAATTAAGGGAAAAGGGTCTGCTATATCCTTAACTTTGTCATTTTGAGCTGATATACCCTCGTTATGAAAGTTGCTCATATATACCCTACTTATATACAAATGACTCTCATATACCCTTTTCCTCTAATGGAAATGAAAAAAAAATAGTTTAATTTTTTATTATTTTTAAAAAATAATATATAATCCCATATGAGTATATTTAATCCTCCTCAAACATATTTTTTTTAACTTTTTTGTTTTCAATGACTAATTTAAATTTATTATTTTGATGGTCAAATTTATTTATGTTTCACTTGTAAAACTTATTATAGATGACCAATTTTTTTTCTTCAAATACAAAAATTAAATTACAATATAGACAAAAAAAATAGTTTTAAATTATAATATAGCCACAAAAAATAGTTTTAATTTTTTTTCTTTACACCAAGGAATGAAAGAAAAAAATAAAATAAGGATAAAAAACTCAAATAATTATAATCAAAGAAGTCAAGAAATAATTTATGTATGAAAAAGATTAAAATATACCTTGAACTTTGCTAGAAGAATCATATATACCCCTCAATAATATTTAAGAAAATTAAAAGTCAAAAATATAAACTTAAAACTAATTTTTTCACTTCCGTTAAATGAAGGATATATGTGAGCTCATTTTGTAACGGCAGGGGTATATGTGAACCGTTTGTATAACGGTAAAGGTATATATGAGCCACTTTGATAACAAGGGACATATCAGCTCCAAATGACAAAGTTGAGAGGTATATCAAATCCTTTTCCCTTAAATTAATGTAACTTAATGAAAAAAATAATTTATATTTATGAATTTTATTTTTAGTATCAAACTTAACTAGAAAAAGAAAATATTAAAAAAGTTATGTGGGGCGGGTTCATGCAGGGCAGGTTTATGCAGGGCGGAGTGGGACGAGTTGAAAATGAAAAAAATTGTTATGCGGGGTGGGGCAGATTAAAAATTTTGCGGGTTAAGCTCAACCCACCCACCCCATACCGCACCGCCCCATTGTCATCCCTATTTGTATCATACTCAAAGTACTTACAAACTCATTAACATAATTAGCAGATAAGCTGAGCAATTCTTCTTAGAACTAGATACCTTGATACTCTTTTGATGATTGGTACAGTACAATGTGGCAATTTCACAATACAACATGTTAAATGGATTATTAAAGCTATTGTAGCAAATGTGGCAATTTCTTCAGCTTGCAATCCAGAGTTCATTCAATGTTGCATTTTCTGTACATTATAGATAGTTTATTTTTCTTCCAAGATCCATAGATGTTTATTAACCAGTAGCAAAGCGAAGAACCTGCAATAAGAAAATAAGTAATCAGAAAGTTGCAACTATGTTATTCAAAAGGAACAAAAGAGATTAAATTTAAGAAAGAATAGAGAAGTATCACTTCCTTGCTAAAACTGTGACTTTGTAAACAGACTCTATAGTCTATTTGCTAGAAACAATTCCAAAAATATTTATTTTATATCAATCAACTACGTCTCAATCTCAAATTTGTTGGTGTCAGTTAAAGATTGATATATGCAATCAAAAATCAATCCTTTCGTAGAAATTAGACGTCACCAACTGATACAGGAATGGCTGTCAAGACTCAGGAGAGGTGTCAATGGTAACCAAAACGAAAAAGAGGAAGAAAAGGAGACATGGCTGCAAGTACCAGCCAAGACCAACGATGTTGTTGGTCTTCAAACGGAAACAAATTGTAATAAACCAATTGAGTAAGTTTGTAAGGGGTTTAAAAGCTCAATTGTAAAGATAAATAAACAATATTGATAAAGCATCATTAGTTAAGAATCCTCCGCGAACAATAAAGTGTTCTAACTGTTTGAGAAAGGCTTTCTACTTTTAGATACCTCAAGGAAATTCTCATTTGAACAAGACCCTCACTTACTATTCAGGTTTTCGACATGTGATGATGGCAAATTTGATGAGACCTTTCTTGTATCCTTCAATCATTAGTGGCATTGCCAGTGCAGCTTTGATTGTCTTCCATCCTGATAAGGTAACTCCAATAAATCAAATACGAAAAATGGGTGCCTTAAATTTTTAGTAGTAGTACACATTTTGGCAAGACACAACTTACCACTGCGTAGTACTGATGTGAAGCCCTTCCATGTCAGTGCTGATTTTATGACTGCTGGCCAAAATGGAGCAACATTCTCAGACCAATCTTCTGCCTTGATATCCTGCCAGTAGCCACAAGATTAGCGGGGAACGAAAAGAGTATGTCTGAGACTGGTTCACGACATAACTAATAGCAGTTAGTAGAATTAATTTACCTGAAGAGAGTTGGATTGAAGTAACCTCACATAATCAGCAGTGGAACACCATGCCGGAAGATAGAAGGCTTTACATATCTTATTTAGCAGCTCTTTTTCCTCTGGAGTCAGAGATTCCTCTGAAGGGGAAAGGTCCCTGTGGCACCATGTGACAAGGATGATTGTGCCTCCTGGTGCAGCCACTCGAGCTAATTCGCCAACAAACTAACAATTAGGGAAACAAGGTTAGGAAAAACACTGCACAATAATTAGTGACAAGTGCGCCCCCATGTACATTTTCTGAAGTTCAAATATACAACGAGATAAGTAAAAAACATGTATCAGATATAATGAACCTTTTCTTTGTTTGGCATGTGTTCTCCACTCTCCATGGACCAAACCAAGTCGAATTGCCCATCTGGAAAAGGCTGATTCAAGGCGTCTGCTACTTGAAATGAAACCTGCTCATTTATATTCCGGTTAATGAACAGAGAGGCAAATTTTATGTAAAAACATATAAAGATATCACAATACGTTGTAGGAGTGGGAGCCAACAGGGGAAAGGTTACGTTGACATACAAATGATATTGAGGAGAAAACCAGTTAACTTTCCTCTTTATTAGCTCCCTTTAGAAATCAGTCCAATTAAAATAGCGTAAAGGGAATCCAAATAACTAATGCAAAATTAAGTGTTTTCACAACTAACTGAAAAAATGATCATACTGTGTCATTTTAGAGAAACACTTCCTGGTGGATGCTGCAATATACAGCCATTATACGTGTAAAAGTTATCACATGGATTTATGTTCAGTACAGAATCTCCTGATAACTATGTAATAATGATTCACTAAACATCAACGAGCAGAAGTTTTGCACAATGAACGTAGCTTTAAGAACTCGCTCATTAAAACACATACTATAAACTATCCTCAGTTCTATGAATCAATAAAATACCATTAGTGTTTAACTTATTCAAGGAGACATGCTAAAGTGATTTAAGTTTCTCACACATAGCGTTGTAAAGCAATTTCTAGCTCAAAAGCATATACCTTATCCCCTAATCCCTGAGCATCAGCAAGAGCTTGAGCCCTCTCTGCTTGTACAGGACTCAAAGTGATACCTTTAGCTGTAGCGCCATATTTCTTTGCAAGGTACCTAGAACTGCCTCCTATGCCACATCCAACATCAACTATGGACGTTGGTTTTTTCGCTGGATCTTCTGCACATATACAATATGCTAGTAAATTAAGGTACTCATTATAAGAACAAAAAAATGATTGATTTCAGAATACATAATTACAAAAGAAGGAAGCTTCAATAACACAGTTTCTCATCATTCATGTAGGAAAATCAATCTTACAACATGCAAGTACTACCAAGTCGGATAATTAGAAAAGTTTTCCTTGCCCTGACATGAGTAACAAAAAATCCTATGAGAAGCATGATCGCCAGCCAGTGGAAGGTTATTTATATTTCCCCAATCCATGCACTAATTTACCCTGTATAAATTGCCTTTGTATAACTAGGTTCAGGACAATTATATCTTAGCCAGTCACAAGAATGACTCCATAACCTTCCTTTTCACTAATTTTCCAACCATGAAAAAATCCCGAGTTTATGCATCTGCAAATATCTACATAAATACAAATAGTTGAAATAATAAGAGGATACAAAACAACTATTGTATACAACTCATATGGAAAACGTTGGATTGTTAATTCCAACATGTAAGATAGCACAACAACATACCCAGTGTAATCTCACAATTGTGTTCTGGGGAGGTTAGACTGTATGCAGACCTTACCCCTATCTCTTGGAGGTAGGGAAGTTGATTTCTGAGTGACCAACATCTAAGATGGGCACAAATATCAAAAAAAGCAAAGTTTAGCTTTACGAAAGTGACAATTAATATTGCACAATCTAAAACCTAACAAATGGTCCATAGAGACATAAATATAAATGAAGTCAAGCTACTATTAACAACACTATAGCTTGCCCCCATGCTACCACTAAAACTCAATCAAATAGGAGCTGAGGACCACAATACAATTTCTTACACCTAAATCCAAGATCATGTAGGCGGATCCAAAATGCTACCGTAGTGCATAAATCCAGATTATTCGGACTCCAATGCAGATACCAGATGTCAAATAGGAAACCCATAAGCTGTTACTAGCTATCAATATATTCAGAACCAAAACAAAACAAAAAAGTTCTCGTCTTTCTCACATAATCTGAAAAACATCATCTACACCCTTTACTCTTCAGAGTTCAGCCTTTTTGTCTTCAACATCTTGTTTCCCCATTTCTTGAACTCAAAGTCAATAGACCCTTCTTTTTCCTTGGAAAGAAGTCCAACTTCTTAGCTTCTTCTATGGATAATAACAAAAGAGCTCTAAACCTAGAGGCAGATTCTATCAATACAGATTAGAGGCAGAGTGTTCGATTAATCCAAATTCACGTTGAAAAATCTCATATTAGGTAAAGTGCTTCCTAACAAAGTGACTTCATAGGACTCGAACCCGAGACCTTTACTTACCACTCTACCACAACCCGTATTGGTACTGGGGCAGAGCTAGTATCCAAAACCTTTCAAGCAGAAAATTACACTATTTATATATGATTAAAATTATTTTTATGTATATATACAAGATGTTACCCCTTTCAACTTCAACTTTTTCATATTTTGAAACCCTAAAAATTCTCACTAGTCACTATCGCCAACAACAATAGTCTATTTCCGATAGACCCTCAGTAAGTAAAAAAATGAAAAAAGAGGTAGTAGTAATACTAATACTCTGGGAATGGGAGAATCCCATTTTTACCAGAAATAGCAGCAAAACTTAGCGCCTTTTCAATCATACGGATCTGAGCAGCACGATGATCAGAAAGTTCTACAGATGACTGAGGTTCATAATAACCATGATGCATATGGTCACCCCAAATATCTTCCCAAATCCCAGAAGACTCATCATATAAATCTGCAATTCCTTTTTTCAACTCCTGTTGATTCTGTATTCCAACTTCTACTGATGATGAAGACACAACATTCATATCAGTAACACTAGCCATTCTTCTTCTACTATTACTACTACAAGTAATGATTCTTCTCCTAGTATAATTTTGAATAATATTACTGTGAATCTGGGGTTTATGAAGAGCGAAGATAACAGAGGAGGAGGAAGATGAAGGACACGTGGGGTTCAATGATTGGATAGTACAAGCGGAATAGCATTGGCTGCCCATTATGATTTATTACTATATACTATCTATAGAAATAATTTAGGGGACAGTTGAAACAATGAAATAAGGAGAAACAATGAGCTAATAATAATTGTTTGTTTATTTATTTACTACAGCAGCAATATTGGAGTTTCCAAAAGATATGGAAAGTGATAACATCACATGCCAAAAAATTACGCAGGTATACGTGGAGTGTTACATATCTTTAATTTCTGCTTATATTTGGATGCTAAACCGGAATACTAGATAGAGAATCTAAATTCGATTAAATCTGAATCACACATTATTTAAGATTTAAATTTGAGATATTTAATTAAAGATGTACTCACTTCGTTCCAATTTATGTAGTACTTTTCTAATTTTGAGATTTCAAACAAATCTATCTTTCACCTAAATTTTTCATGTCTTTTAAATATTTTGTAGGGAAAGGGGTCAAAATACCCTTAAACTATGTGAAAGGAACAAAAATGTCTTTCGTTTATAATTTGGTTCAAAAATGCCCTTACCATCAATACTTTGGTTCAAAGATGCCCTTGCAGTCAATACTTTGGTCCAGAAATGCCTCTATAGTTACAAAATGGGTCAAAAATGTCTTTTTACGAATAAATATATATATTTTTTCTTTTTAAGCACATCTTCTTCCTAATTAAAATATTATTAAAGAACACTATTCTTGTTTTTTCTTCTAAAATCACTTTAACAAATAAAAATGTAGAAAAATATTTTTGTTCTTCTTAATCTCATTTTATCAATTAAAATAGAATAACTTCATGTACCCTTTCGACAAATAATATATGTCATATATATATAAGATCATCGTAAATCCATCATTAATTGATATTTATATAACGATAAAAAATAATGATAATAAAATAAGAAATATGTTTTTCCTGAGTTGAAGTAAGATAAACATTTGCTAATTTAAAAAAACATTATTAGAAAAAGAATGTGTTAAAAAGAAAATAATGATATATTTATTTGGAAAATGAGCATTTTTTGTGACCCATAAAATAACAATAAGGGCATTTTTGGACCAAAGTATTGACGGCAAGGACATTTTTGGACCAAACTACAAACGGAGGATATTTTTGTTCATTTCACATAGTTTAAGGGCATTTTTGAACCAAAGTATTGACGGTAAGGACATTTTTTAGCCAAACTATAAACTTAGGGCATTTTTTGTTCCTTTCACATAGTTTAAGGACATTTTTTTTTACTATTTTCCCTATTTTGAATTGTCAATTATTATGACACATAATCATTTGTACGTAGTTTACAAATATATAAATTTCTTTTCAAAAACTTTGAAGATTTCATGTGCAAATTTCTTATCAAACTTAAATTATTTGACTTTCGAAAAACTAAAAGCGTCACATATATTGGGGTAAATGTAGTATCAATTTAGCAATGTACCACAACTCATATTGGTAAATAGAGAATTAAGTAGTAATTTCTACTTGTAATAAGAATAAAATATTTTTAAAATATCTATTTGATTATAAAATTTTGGTTTTTTTTTTTTTCAAATTGACCAATTTTTGGGACTTTAACTCAGTAAACTTTTAAATTTTTTTAAGTAAAATGTATGTTCAAATAAAATTCGAATTTTTAAGTTTCAACAACTTCATAATCTATGGCAAAGCAAAACCTAAAAGATTGATCCAAAACTATCCATGTGTTAATAATATAATTCAAAAATGTCTTTATTGTTACTTAACTATATTTTTAGAATGTTTTTCTTTTTCTAATAAGGATTTTTCTTTTCTTTTTAAACACTTATTTTTTATAATACTCTACATATTTTGTATTTTTCTAATAAAGATGCCGTTAACAATATGATTCAAGAATAGTACTTCTCATACAATTTCTCCATAACTATGATTAGAAAAAAAAATAGAGATGTTATGTAAATAATAACTAAAATATCGTTAAATTAATATGACCTTTTTCAAAGAAAAATTTGAATTAATGTATAACAATTCATTACTCCCACTTTAGAAAAATAAAGTATTCGCACTTTTACTTCTGTTTATTCAGTTTTAACAAATTGTGAGAATAAATATTTTTTTCATCATATTTATTTTTAACATTAATTACTTGTCACGACCCAAAATAACAAGTCATGATGGCACCTATGTTCCCAACCGATAGGTAAGCCAGCCTAATACTTTACCAATTCAATTCAATATTTAAAGTAGAAAGATAAGTGAAAACATCATATTCAATCACTAAGTCATTTAGAAATATGAAATGCGGAAATCTAAATTACCATCCCAAGATTTAGTGTCATAAGTACAAGAGCTTCTAAAAGTCACTACAAGTCTCTGTTTATATAACAAGTCTAAACATAAGAAATATCCTATCAGAATACCAAAACAACCTAATAACTAGAGATAGATGAAGGTATGGGCGGTAGAACATCCAAGCAGCTCACCACAACTTCAAGATAAACCAAACTCAGACTCAAGCTCCAAGAAATATGCTCGAATTCGAATACAATCTGCACCACAAAAGAGTGCAGCAAGTGTAGTATGAGTACGAAACCACGTGTACCCAATATATCTCATAGACCGACAACAAAGAAGTAGTGACAGGAGTATATAAGAAAATAATCCTTTAATTTTTACAAGTCCACATTATACTTATCAACCAAGTTTTCATCAATAGAGATAATTAAATGTCACGAAATGTTTAACCACCAATAACACACATAATCAACGAGAATGAGGGATGTAATGAGATGCAATGCAATGTGACACCATGAATAATATGCCTCAGATGCCAAGTACTCTCTCAACTGTATACACATGATACTCCTCGGAAATACATCGAGAGTCCATGACCCATGGGGGACTAGCGAGGTCCATATACCGACACGGACGATCTCCACGTGTCTGTGCGGATGATCTCAACGCACTATCATAAAATCAAACAATCCCCAGCACGAACGATCTCCACGTGCCCAAATTATAATTTTAACTCGATCTCAACACGGACGATCTCCACGTGTTAGACCTTTAATCATACTCAATCTCATGTCAATGCATGTGCACAGTATGATATCAATAAAAGAGGATTATGCAACATCTCAATAAATCAATGTCGTTATGACATATAATCACCTCAATTATCACAATTATACGGGTTCAATAAGGAAACACAATCATACAAAAGAAATCAAGTCACTAAGTACATCAGCTAATGCCCATATGATTTGGCATTCTCGAATTACAATCTATCATGTTATAGTAATAAACTTTCCCTTTAATAACACAGGTACTCGTACCAATGCCCGTCACACTATTGGTACGAGACCCCATCTTTCACCCTTACCAATTGTCTATTCCATTTTTTAATCTTTAATTAGAAAAACGTCCTTCAACGAAGTCTACAAAGTCTTAACATACCTCGAATGCTGAACACGTGTCATGAATCCTCAAGATTTTCCCCTTCCCTTTCGCAAAGCTTCAACATGTTCACAATCTATCACATATGCATTATTCATAAGTAAACGAATCTATAGACATCCATCGAGCTATACCTCTATCCCGAACCCCAAAACTTATTCAAACTTCACGAATGTTACCATCTTATTCCCCTTAAAATTTCGCACTTTTTAAATATATTATCGACTTAACCATGATGGTCACTCTTGGACCAATTAACCACTATTGGTAAACAATTGTGAACACCACCAGAATATTTCAAGACACAAAATATGCTACGAATTTAACTAAGTGATACAGTGATCCTGAACCAAAGCAACAAACAACATTTGTACTATCCACTACGCAGCACCTTACATCCACTCACCTATCATTAACTCAAAATGATATATAAATCTCATCCAACCTAATGACACCAAACTAACACCCATGATATATAATGAATTCCAAAATTTTTGGTGCCATCTAATATGTCAAGTCTCATATTCCTAGATTTTAAGCCTGGAGTTATATCTTAATTCCACTAAATAACATACTCTAATAGTGTTCATATATATCCATTATGCTTAATAATTAATAGTGACAAGAGTAGCAACAGAAACTAACAAAAATTTAACAAAAGACTCCAACTTCCAAGCCTTCATAATTACTATACTTCAGTTCCTTTTAAATGAATTACCACTTAAAATCAATGAGTCAATCATTACCGTAATGATTAATCTCTCCTAATTAACAATTAATTTTCCTACCAAAGAAACCATCCTACGGTATAGTGTCAAGTTCCAATATTTGCTTTCCTTAACTTTATTTATTATTTATGTTCCAGTCGAAATTTTATCAACACAATTCTATATTCATTAATGACAAATTCCGACCGAAATCTTGCTAGCACTGATTTGTTGGCAGCAATAACTTACAACATATTTCTAACCCGTTAAGCCAAATAAAATTCCTACCCAGACAACACATACACACACGACAATATCAACTTAAATTATTTTTCTATTACCTGGCAGATTTCGTGATGGTTGAGGTTATGCGATGATTCTCCTCGTCGTGTGCAGATAGAAGTTTTAGTGGGTTGTGGGGGTGACAAAGAATTATTAACCCTCAATTATTCTTAATTCATCTATTTACATGGGCCAAATTACTTGGGTATTAATTGAACTATGTATTTGGCCCACTACCTAATAACTATAATACTCATTAAATAAAAATTCATCAACTAGATACTCATAATTACTGAATAATTTAAAATACCCTTTTAAATTTTTTTTCCGGAAGAGTCAAAATAGTCCTAGTTCTCAAAACGAACTAGCGGGTCGTTACATTACTTATTCTCAAAATTATCTTCAGAACCTAATACTAAATATCAATTAATAAAGATAGCATAGTAAAATAATCACAATAACAATTATTTTTTAATAAATATAGAGAAAATGGCCAAATGCCCCCTCAACGTATATCCGGATTTCCAACTACACACTTAAACTTTACGGGAGTCCTATCACCTGCCTAAACTGTTTAAAAATGAAATAATTATACCCTTAAAAAGCCATAATCAGATCTATGGTGGCATGTGAATTTCACACATTTGACATGTGAAAAAGTCATTAAATATGTTTTTTTCATTTTTTATATCTCTTTACCCTTTTCTTTTATATTTTCACCCATCCCTTCCATCACCAAAGCACTTTCACCATTTTCATCATTACTAGA